TGTCATGTTGAGCAACCCTATCCTTCACCTCCCTTATCTCTTTCCCAAAGGTAGCATGAAGGTCCTTCATAAGGAGCATCTGCTCTTCCTGTCGGCGGGCCTGTTCCTCTTGTCGGCGGGCCTGTTCGCAGCTGCTGCAGCATCACCATCAGAGCACCTAAGTCAGGTGCTGCAGATGTAGGAGCTACCAACGCGCCTGCAGCCGGTGGCTGGCCCTCTGATGTCTGCGGCGTTGCACCACCAAATCTTCGTTGGTCCGTCTCCTGCTGGCGTTGACTTCGGGTACGGACACCCTCCGTTTCCTCCTTAGGTAAAATCGGCATGATTTTATCCCACTTCTGACACCAATTGTTACGAGCTTGAGGTTCGTGACAATAAAAATTGCCGATAAAATTACCTAAATTAACACTTTAATTTACTTTACACAAATTAAAACTAAAAACACTAATAATTAAACACACTAATTCACTTAATTCCGCTCCGAAGCTTCGCTTGTGTCGCCGAGTTCAACTCTACTCCGATCGCATCTTGCAGCGCCTATTTATTTAAATTAGCAAAGAAATATCCAGAATGTTCAAGTAAACACGCGCAAGGTACCGAGCGTTCGAGTTTCGACTAGGCGCTGTTGGTTGAGTGATTTGTGATGTCATTTTCTCAATGCTCCCCTCGCTCTCGTTCCTGACACTAGATGGCGCTAGTGTATCGTCGCCTTGAGCGCGTAACAATATTTTAATTACCTACTCACTAATATCAAAACTGTTTACAATATCGGTAGTCTGTCTAGACATCATACTACATTTTAATTATCAATATTTTTTTAAAGTCAGTTTTATGATATGAGCAGGTACTTAGATTATTATTTATTATTTACATACATAAACATTTAAAACGCCAACTCACAAACTCTAAAAAAACCCAAGTTTCGTTGGCAAAATAGATAAAATAAGAGAAAAAGAATAGTTTCAAATAAAACCATTAGAAAATTCAAATTTATTTTGACTTGATGGAGTGACCTGAAGGTGTACTTTGGTAATCGGTATTGGAACAGGTCGCCGAGTACTACTAAGTGTGCCGAGTTTGGTCTCGTTTTGTTAGGTATGACGAGCCCTTACCTCCGGACTTGATGGAGTGACCTGAAGGTGTACTTTGGCAATCGGCATTGGAACAGGTCGCCGAGTACTACTAGGTGTGCCGAAGTTGGGCTCGTTTTGTTAGGTATGATGAGTTCTTACCTCCGGACTTGACGGAGTGACCTGAAGGTGTGCTTTGGTAATCGATATTGGAACAGGTCGCCGAGTACTACTAGGTGTGCCGAGTTTGGGCTCGTTTTGCTAGGTATGACGAGCCCTTACCTCCGGACTTGATGGAGTGACTTGAAGGTGTACTTTGGTAATCGGCATTGGAACAGGTCTTCGAATACTACTAGGTGGGCCGAGTTTGGGCTCGTTTTGTTAGGTATGACGAGCCCTTACCTCCAGACTTGACGGAGTGACCTAAAGGTGTACTTTGGTAATCGGCATTGGAACAGGTCTTTGAGTACTACTAGGTGTGTCGAGGTTGGGCTCGTTTTGTTAGGTTTGACGAATTCTTACCTTCGGACTTGACGGAGTGACCTGAAGGTGTGCTTTGGTAATCGATATTGGAACAGGTCGCCGAGTACTACTAGGTGTGCCGAGTTTGGGCTCGTTTTGCTAGGTATGACGAGCCCTTACCTCCGGACTTGATGGAGTGACTTGAAGGTGTACTTTGGTAATCGGCATTGGAACAGGTCTTCGAGTACTACTAGGTGTGTCGAGGTTGGGCTCTTTTTGTTAGGTATGATGAGTCCTTACCTCCGGACTTGACGGAGTGAACTGAAGGTGCACTTTGTTAATCGCTATTGGAACTGGTCACCGAATACTACTAGGTGTGCCGAGATTGGGCTCGTTTTGTTAGGTACGATAAGTCCTTACCTCCGGACTTGACGGAGTGACCTGAAGGTGTACTTTGGTAATCGGTATTGGAACAGGTCGTCGAATACTACTACGTGAGCCGAGTTTGGGCTCGTTTTGTTAGGTATGACGAGCCCTTACCTACGGACTTGATGGAGTGACCTGAAGGTGTACTTTGGTAATCGGCATTGGAACAGGTCTTCGAGTACTACTAGGTGTGTCGAGGTTGGGCTCGTTTTGTTAGGTATGACGAATTCTTACCTTCGGACTTGACGGAGTGACCTGAAGGTATACTTTGGTAATCGCTAATTGGAACTGGTCCCCGAGTACTACTAGGTGAACTTACGATTCTCCGCGCAGATAAGGGAAACGCCACGGTAGTCATGGATATGTCAGATTATAATTCTAAAATACAAGAACTTTTGTCGGATGTAAGTACTTATAAAAAGGTTAAAAATGACCCAACAAATAGCACACTAAAAACAACTAGTGACCTCATAAAGAAACACTCCGAAAAATTAAATCTGGACGTAAAATGGATAATACCTACGTGCGCCAAATCACCAAAATTGTATGGGTTACCAAAAATACACAAGCCCAATGCTCCATTACGTCCCGTAGTGAGCCAAATCAATTCACCAACTTACAGATCGGCTCAACACTTAGCGAAAATACTCTCACCGCTCAGAGGACATGCAAGAGCACACATAAAGGATTCCTACCATTTGGTCAGCGAGATTAAAGACCTACATCTGGCAGACAATGAAACTATGGTCAGTTTTGATGTGCAGTCATTGTTTACATGCTTACCTGTTGAAAACTGCTTCTCAATTGTAACTAGAAGGCTGGAAGAAAACAACATGCCCGTAGAATATGCAGTATTACTCAGACACTGCCTTACATCTGGCTACCTATTGTGGAAGGAGGAGTTCTACAAGCAAGTAGATGGTGTGGCGATGGGCTCACCTGTTTTGCTGCCTGCCGATTGTCGCAGACATATTCATGGAAGACTTTGAGGAGAAAGCTCTGCTTACTTCTTCCATAAATCCAAGATTCTACAAGCGGTACGTAGACGATACTTTCTCAATTCTACCTTTAGATAAAGTAACTGCATTTTTAGACCATCTTAACTCTATAAATTCTAAAATTCAGTTCACAATGGAGTTAGAGGCAAACAATTCCTTAGCTTTTCTAGATGTGTTAGTAATTCGGAATCCTGATAACACCTTGAGCCATACTGTGTATAGAAAAAGACCCATACAGATAGATATTTAAACGGTGATTCTCACCACCATCCTTTATAGTTAGCTACCATGGGTAAATCTTTGTTTCAGAGAGCACGAGGGATCTGTGATAATAAACATCTGGCTGCGGAGCTCCACCATGTCAAGCAAGTTTTGCGTGACAACAAGCTTCGGGTCCCGCGCCTACGTCACAGTGAACGAGTGAAGCCGACCACGGTCGAACGTGTACCCGCTGTACTGCCATATGTTAGAGGAGTCACTGACAAGATTGGCTACATCTTGAAGCACGCTTCCATTAAAATATACTTCAAGCCCCCAAAGAAGATTGATCAGTTTTTACCATCAGTCAAGTGTAATGTCCCTCAGCAAGATGCAAGAGTGTACAAGCTTGATTTTGAATGTGGTCTCTCTTACATAGGACAAAATAAAAGATCAATCAAAACCCGCATTAAAGAACATATAGCTGATGTGAAGAATCGACGTTCCGGGAAGTCTGCAGTCTGTGAACACGTACAGGATCGCCCCCGTCACTACATCAGATTTGATAGACCACAAATCCTCGCTAAAGAACACCGAGTCCTTCCAAGGATGATTCGCGAGGCTATTGAAATCAAAAAACATCCTAATTTCAGTAGAGAAGATGGCTGGATGCTACCATCTGCTTGGGATCCTATAATAAATAAAATTAAATCCCAACCCAAGCATACAACTGCAAGACTTCAAGATACCATAAGTTCATACTGCGTAGATCGGAACAAAAGTTAAATTTTAATCTATGGTAACCGCGGTTAACTATGACATCTGGACGTTGAACATCTCAGTCCCGCCCGTGACTATGAGTGCTGTAAAGCGTTCGAAACGTCGGGTATTTAAAAAGTTAAATATACGCGATAAATTCCGTAAAAACTAGTATTATTTCAATGTGTAGTGTTGGTAAATATAAGAAATCATTAGTGGTATCATGTTTTCAACACACTATCTAACAGATTATCCTGGACAATATCATATATTTTTCTGGGTTTGTTACAGTGGTTTTTTGAGGTTATAAACTTGCGTTTAGGTATGCCTCGTCTTAAGAACATGCAAAATTGTTACCTATTTTGGTAGGGTTGTCACAATTGGTGAAGACAAATTAAACAAAACATTTGTTTTAATTTTCAGTATGATCGAATACTTTACAAACTACTACATATTATAATATTTGTATATTTATATATATTTTTTTTTTATATATATATATATATATATATATATATATATATATATATATATATATATATATATATATATATATAAGCTTGTAATAACAATAAAAAGGGTAAAACACACCGTGTAGTACCCTCTTCTTATTAAAAATAGGATCGTACAATAAAATATAGATACATGCTTGAAAAAGTAAAGATCAAACATTTATACATATTGTACTCCTTGGGATAGCTAAAGTAATATATTTTACTAGTATTATTCACACACAGTACAATAAACAACCATTATTAATAATACCACATACATTAAAATACTCAAACTTGCAACTAACAAAATAAACAACGTGCACCGCATTTACCCTAAAATTGTCCACTGGCTGTGCCAACGTAACTAATTTTTTCCAGTCTCGCCGCGCGTACGCAACAAGCTGCCAGTGGTCACACATACACCGCGTGCTTGTAGTAGTGCAACCGATTCGCGCGATTGAATGAAGCTTATTCTTTGTTCCGTTTATCTACTCATGTGACCTAGTAGTACGTTCTCATAATGTTCAGGTTCAGGTTCAATTTTTATAATAACCTTAAAATTATAACATTATATGGTAATACTTTCTTTTCAGATACTAATTCTCTAGCTGTCCCTCCCTTGGTTTTCTTTGATGACATTTACATACACCCTGGCTATGGCACATCTGCTCATCCTTGGGCATATTGGAGTCCATCTAAAGGTCTACAAGTAATATTCGAACGGGAGAGAATCTTAAGGCGGTTCGATCTTAAGAAGTACACCTTAAAGATTGCTACCCCGGTATGTATACATCAATAATGCTTAGAGGAATCGACATCATCATCGTTGCTCATAGTTGGATCAGCGCGTCTGATTCACAAAGACAAAGCACACGTGTTACTCTACGTAAGTGTTGGGGTCAAAATGATTACATCTCCCTTACATCTAAAATTCTTACAAGTCATTTTATTTCACTTTGACACATGATTATCTTAGCCTCTGCCCGCAATTCCGTCTATGGAGTTCTATGACCATTATACTTCATCATTCCATGCAGTCATGCCCAATGCAAAGTATTGTTTATCTGTGCGGTTAATGCATGGTCGAGCAAAAACTTCCAGCATCTTTACATACTTTCAAATGTATATGTAATAATAATAATAACGTTCTTCAGACCGAATTTCGGTCACGGCGGTCAACCTCAACGGAGATTAGCCATTGGCGCATGACAGGATTATAATACGCAAGTGTATGCGTAAGCATAGATAGATGCACTCTCCATTCCCTCATTCTCATAGTCCGATGCGACAATAAAATGACACGATTGGAGAGAGATCAGAAAAAAAAACTCAATATATTTATGTAAATATACTTCCCACCAAGTAAACAATAGAAATACTTTCCATGGAACACAAAAAACACTTTCCATGAAAAGAACAACTAATCTCAACTTCTCAAGCATAATCTAACTACTCATAAAAATGTAAACACTGACTGGAAATCGAAACTACGATCCTCGGTATATTAGTTATAGGTACTCGTACTTTAATCACAAGGCAACTTAGTTGTTTAAAATAGGATAAAATTGAACATAGTGAAATTCTGATAGCCTTTATCAAGGCTCACAGCTTTGCAGGCCTGTATAATAGCAAAATCACACAACTTCACACACGACGATATACCAAACGCTAAATTAATTTTCGTAACAAAAAGTCAAGGTAACAAACGTTGAATAGGCCTTTGTAAAAAAAAGACAACGCGACAAAGATTCAAATTACGTAAGTATGACTTTAAGCTATAAATAAAGTTTCATACGTAGACAGAGAAACCTATAGACTAATGATTAGCGTGGCCTCGAGTGAGAAAGGACAATAACGTAGTTTTAGGTTATACAATAATCTTTATGACTTTTAAACATGTTTAGATAAAAATTTTAATTGTTCTAAGAACTGAATTGAACAAGATTCACCAATCTTAAGCTCACAGAACACTTTTTTTCTCACTTAAACCAACTTGTAAACTCAAAAAAAAGATCGCTACGAACTGTCAAAGTTGTTTAGCAAAGTGTAGTTTGCTAAACAAAAAAACCGGCACGGAGAAAGGGCCAAGCAATCACACCGCTCTGTCTCATTTCTATGCAAGACGTATGCATAAATCTATCTATTTCGTGTGCGAATGCGAAAGAAGGCGTCAATTTGTCTATAGGTTTCTCTATCTACGGTTTGATAAAAAACACAACCTGACAAATAAATTTTCGTTAAGCAAAAACAAATTCACACGTAACGAAATCGTTAATTTTTTCTGTTTGTCTTGGCGTTTATGCACAATGACTCAATCAATTTAGATGTCATTTTCAGTGTTTTTTCGAGATAAAATATTTATTTTATTTACACACAAATGATAAATTAAAATATGTCAACTTTAATATTCGACTCGCGCGAGGTCAACATGTGTGCACAAGTCGGAAGAAAAATCGATAGGATGCCTATGTGAATATATGTGTGGTATTGTATAAAGTATCGTAAAGAAAAACGCCGCTAAAAATGGTAAAAAAAATCCGTAAATAAAAATAACGGGATAATTTACTAAAGCTTGATTTTTTTTTTTTTATGTGCCAGCTAGGACAATATTCTGAAGATTGGTACAATGGCACTTTTAAAGAGTATCTAATGGATATCTCGATGCCAGAGCGTGACTCTGGCGTACGCTGTGCATATAAAGCATCTGTACTTCTCATCGAGGCGTTGAATGCTACGTAAGTAGAATTAAGTTAATTTAAAAAATATGAATTATATCTTATAAAGGTAGATTTAAAATAAATATTTAATGCATTTACAACTACTAAAGTCTAGACACGGAGTCCAGCCTCCACCGCAATTAGTCTGTAAGCAGGCTATCATTAGACATTTGTATATGCCTAAATAGTGTGCTGCTGAATATATATCTCTATATGTGCAGTAAAAGAATTGGTTCAGGTTTATATAATATCTAATTCACTGGATTTTCAGAAAACTGAAATCATTACTTCCACATTTACTCAGAATTTTCTTTTACACGCACTAAGGTTTGCTTACGATATTTGTTTTGTCCATTCACATTTGTCCACAGTCCACCTGATGGTAAGTGGTTGTTGCGGCACATAGACATCTACATCTTTCCTCGATTACGAATCAAAATACAGATGCGTCACCTGTGAGCACTAAGCTAGAAAGCCTCGTTTCCAGTGAAAAAGATCTCTAGTTCTGTACACTCACCATGCGAAAGCAACATTGAGCTGCTATTTTAGGCTGGTATTCTGTGAGAGTGTTGTCCTTCTCCATTCGTGCTAAGTAGTATAGTTGTAGCACGGTGGCATAGCAGAATACCCCTACCACGTCTTCCTTCAGCTTCATAAATTAGCTCTTACAATTGCATTAAAATCACTGGCGAGATCGTGTATCGGATTGATCACGCACTACGATATCCCACGTCTAGATCTTTGTTTCAGACAAGAACTAGTTCCAACAGAGTTGTGGAGTACAGAAGTAAATAACAGCAGTATGCTTCTAATGCTGTCGTACGGTACTGCGGATCTTGCTGGTGGAATTCTTAGGATTTTACCCTACCGCCTCACGCGACTGGACTACGCAATGCCTATTTGGCCTTTTCGGTGGGTTTACTCCTTTATTTAATTTATTTTCTGTTATGACTTCTATGTGTGTTTGATTGTCTGTATGTCGTTGTTTACTTGTAACATAACATGTTAACATAAACACTCACGCATGTCACCCAGAGGGGTAGGCAGAGACTACGGACTTCCATTTGGCACGATCCTGACATACCTCTTTCGCCTCCTTCACTAAATGTGCTTTGTCACTCTTTCCTCATTTATTCTTTCTACATGGTCATGGTCATGTTTACTTGTGTTTCACACAAATAATAAAAAAATTGACGTTAGTTATTAAATATAAGTTTTGTTTAAAACCTAGGGTTTTCTATTTAAAATTTTGGCGGTTCGGTAAAAATAAAGTTAAACATTTTTCACTGAGGATGAAACTTAGTTATGTAATTTAAGTCGAGCGCTCTCCCCTAGGATATCAGGATGCGTAATAAGACGTTATATAATTTTTAAGTTCCAGATGTTAAGACCTTCTGCTGTGTTCACTACGAAACTTATTATCTTATATTTTTGAGTAATAGAACACAATCAGTTATTATTAATTGGAGAAAGTATATCAATAGTATCTGTTCAATACTATGTATCTGTGCGAGTGTTCTTCAGGTCTCAATTCTTGGGCCTTTTTTCCTGTTCTTAGTCATCACGACGATCAACGACTTTATTATACAGTATTATCTGATACTACTTTATTAATAGAAATTATTATTTAACAGGTTTAACGACAATAGCTTGCTTTTGAACAGTAATAAAACAAAATGTATAAAATTCACAATATCTCATGTTTAACATATGACTACCAGTGAGCTTTTAAATGAGAAAGAACTGAGTCTTAATGAATCCAAGGTTTCCTCAGAATTATAGTTAACACGAAGCCTCAGGGAAGTCTCCATATAACGATAACGAGCTAGCAAACTTAGTATTATAGTACATATATTTCATATAGAAAAAAACATATAGAAAACATATAGAAAAAAAATTTCGAAGACATGAGAAGTTCGCCAACACGCATTGGGGCAGCACGGCGGACAATTCCTTGCCCTAAAACCCTCCGTTCACGGCAGCACAGGGCTCCGCTCAGAAATGATCGTAGGCCTGTGCCCAGCAATGGGATGTGTGTAGGCTGTAACTTACTTACTGTACATATATTTCTTGCGTGATAGAGCCATAGCACGAATGGGTCAGCTCGACCGGGGTAGGACCACGCTCTCGCAGGATACCAGCGTAAATTAGCAGCTGCGTTTCGGAGGGTGAGTATAGAGTACCGAAGATTGATTGGTTTTTTATTCATTGACTCTTTGAATAAAACTATTATTTACGGATTTTATCGCGTTTAATTACTTTAATTTATTTTTATTATTATCCCGACGTTTCGGGTGCTTTACAGCGCCCATGGTCACGGGGGGGACTGAGATGTTTGACGTCCCAATGTCATAGTTAGTCCGGCTACCTTCAGTTTTTTAATATTAATTTTTGGTCCGATTTACGCAAAACGAGCTTATGGTATCATGAAGTCTTGCAGTGGTATGCTTGGGTTTGGGTTTAATTTTGTGGATTATAGGATCCCAAGCAGATGGTAGCACCCAACCATCTTCTCTATTGAAATTTGGATGTTTTTTAATTTCAATAGCCTCGCGTATCATCCTTGGTAGGAATCGGTGTTCTTTTGCGAGAATTTGTGGTTTATCAAATCTAATGTAATGGTGGGGACGATCTTGAACATGTTCGCAGACTGCAGACTTCCCGGAGCGTCGGTGCTTCACATCAGCTATATGTTCCTTCACGCGGGTTTTTATGGATCTCTTTGTTTGACCTATGTAAGAGAGACCACATTCACAATCTAGCTTGTACACACCTGCATCTTGTAGAGGAATATTACATTTGATGGATGGTAAAAATTGACTAATCTTCTTCAGCGGCTTGTAGTATGTCTTAATGGACGCTCGCTTCAAGATGTAGCCAATCTTGTCCGTGACTCCTCCAACATATGGTAGTAGAGCAGGTGCGCGCTCGACTGTTGCCGGCTTCACTCGTTCACTGTGACGTAGGCGCGGGACCCGAAGCTTGTTGTCTTGCAATACTTGCTTGACGTGCTGAAGCTCCGCGGCCAGGTGTTTTCTGTCACAGATCCCTCGTGCTCTCTGAAACAAAGATTTACCCACGGTAGCTAACTGTGAAGGATGATGGTGAGATTCACCATTTAGATATCGGTTGGTATGGGTCTTTTTCCTATACACAGTGTGACCAATGTATAGGAAAAAGACCCATACCAACCGATATCTAAATGGTGAATCTCACCATCATCCTTCACAGTTAGCTACCGTGGGTAAATCTTTGTTTCAGAGAGCACGAGGGATCTGTGACAGAAAACACCTGGCCGCGGAGCTTCAGCACGTCAAGCAAGTATTGCAAGACAACAAGCTTCGGGTCCCGCGCCTACGTCACAGTGAACGAGTGAAGCCGGCAACAGTCGAGCGCGCTGAGAAGGATGATGGTGAGATTCACCATTTAGATATCGGTTGGTATGGGTCTTTTCCTATACACAGTGTGACCAATGTATAGGAAAAAGACCCATACCAACCGATATCTAAATGGTGAATCTCACCATCATCCTTCACAGTTAGCTACCGTGGGTAAATCTTTGTTTCAGAGAGCACGAGGGATCTGTGACAGAAAACACCTGGCCGCGGAGCTTCAGCACGTCAAGCAAGTATTGCAAGACAACAAGCTTCGGGTCCCGCGCCTACGTCACAGTGAACGAGTGAAGCCGGCAACAGTCGAGCGCGCACCTGCTCTACTACCATATGTTGGAGGAGTCACGGACAAGATTGGCTACATCTTGAAGCGAGCGTCCATTAAGACATACTACAAGCCGCTGAAGAAGATTAGTCAATTTTTACCATCCATCAAATGTAATATTCCTCTACAAGATGCAGGTGTGTACAAGCTAGATTGTGAATGTGGTCTCTCTTACATAGGTCAAACAAAAACATCCATAAAAACCCGCGTGAAGGAACATATAGCTGATGTGAAGCACCGACGCTCCGGGAAGTCTGCAGTCTGCGAACATGTTCAAGATCGTCCCCACCATTACATTAGATTTGATAAACCACAAATTCTCGCAAAAGAACACCGATTCCTACCAAGGATGATACGCGAGGCTATTGAAATTAAAAAACATCCAAATTTCAATAGAGAAGATGGTTGGGTGCTACCATCTACTTGGGATCCTATAATCCACAAAATTAAACCCAAACCCAAGCATACCACTGCAAGACTTCATGATACTATAAGCTCGTTTTGCGTAAATCGGACCAAAAATTAATATTAAAAAACTGAAGGTAGCCGGACTAACTATGACATTGGGACGTCAAACATCTCAGTCCCCCCGTGACCATGGGCGCTGTAAAGCACCCGAAACGTCGGGATAATAATAAAAATAAATTAAAGTAATTAAACGCGATAAAATCCGTAAATAATAGTTTTATTCAATGTGTAGTGTTCGCGTAAATTTAAGAAATCATCATTGACTCTTTATCGAAGATAAATGTAGATGTCTATGAGCCACAGCATCCACTTACCATATGGTGAACTGTGTGCTCGTTTGACACCCCGTTCCATAACAAATATATGCTATAAAAAGATTAAAATCCTGATTTTTGCTGAAATAAGCTGATGAGTTTATTATAGTTATTGCCGTAGAATAATATCGTATGAATTCTTACAATAGGGAAAGGAACTGGCAATAAAGAATTATAAAAGTTTTGCAGAAGCTTCTTTTCTCTTTTCACTTGGCCTCTCAGTATAGTTAGGAAAAAATGTTTATTGTACATTATGTAGGTAAGAAAGACAAATATATTTTTTTACTATTCCAAGTCAGCACCTAACTACAATATCATCTGATGGTAAGTAGTGATGAAGCCTAAGATGGTGAAGCAAACTGGCTGAACGAAAGCCTATTCACTCTTGCCTTGAAGTAAAGTAAAAGTAAAGTTGCAGCCTATATACGTCCCGCTGCTGGGCACAGGCCTCCCCTCATTTCTGAAAGCGTTTGAGGACAAGGAAGTGTCCGCCGCGTTACCTCAATGCGTGTTGGCGCATGAGAAGATCTCCGTTCAAAACTTTTTGATTATAAAAGCGGCAACAATATATAATCTGTGAACATCACTTCGAAAAATCCTGCATTAAGTTTATAAAAAGAACTTTAAAATATTTATTGAAAATACTTTCCAACACTCAACTTGCCGTGTAGAGTGTGAGAATGTATCTGAAATGAATGTATGAATTGCTTGAGCAAAAATTTCGCGAATATTTTGATCTCGAAAGAAACATTGTAAATATTGGTAACGAAATATTAAAACGTGTGCAAGATTTTATGTGTTGTGCCACGTGAGTGAGTTTTTCAAAATAAAAGATGATAAACGTTTTATTTATTTTATTTTATCCTTCTGTGCGAACCCTACCAAAATCGGTAAAACTTGGAAGCTTTGCGTACAGCTAGTATGGAATAAAAATAATTACATTGTATTCTAATTTATTCTATTCCGTTCCGTTCTGTTATACTCTACTGTATTCTAACCTTTTCTAATCTATAGTATTCTATTCCATTCTATTCTATTATATTTTATTCTATTTTATATTACAGCGTGGGTTTCACATATATATCTGAACGTGAAAGTAGCAGTAACATGTACGTAGAGCCATTTACAACAGGAGTATGGTGGACGTGTCTTGGCTTAGCTCTCGTCATGATTCTTGCTCAGAGAATGACTGCCAAAAGACCTGTGGAGAAGGAAGGCGCTTATATGGCCGTGATCGCAACATACTTACAACAAGGTAATAAAGATGTTCATACATTATTGTTATTCAAATAAAATCGTATAAATACTTCCTACCATTAAAATCGACTGTCTATGCTACAGCTGATATAAAATCGTAACTATTCACACACTTATACATTGCTGCTACCTGATAATAAATACCCACAATTTCTACCATTAGCACTTAATCCTAAAATTTGCCTTAGAGATCGAACTCGATGTTTGAGTTACTGAACGTAACAACTATACATTATCACAATAATAAAACTATAGCAAAACGTAGAACCAACATCGAATTAAAAAAATAATAATAAACTAAAAATAGATAAAAATAGCACCGATGATTGATAGTAATGACTTAACAAAAGGTAGCTATTATTTGGAGGCTATTTTTTAATTTTTAAGTCACTTAATGTAACATAATAATAATATAAACAATAAATATTTAAGTAATATAATGTCACTGTATTTCATATAGTGACTGACGAGAACGAAGAGAGAACAAGAAGACTTACCATCATTGCATTAAAGTTTGACAACGTATGAAGTCAAAAATAGTAAAGCGCACTACACACAGCCAAACTAAACAAAAGTATATTCACTTTGCCTTGAAAACACCAACATTGTAATCGGATGGAAAAACAGACACTGGTAAATCCGTTCCAATACACGTTACGAAAAACAAAACCTCAATGTCATCAGCCGTAATAGTATACTATTGGACGTGAGCTTTCAAAAGTACAAAGCCTCGGTGTAACAGTGAATCAAATGGTTGTTCTGGTTGATCATCAGCCTTCTGAACCCATTACTTGATAAAGACCTTTCCAATTTTGTGACAAATGACATATATCTCGAATGTTTTTCCCATTCTTATGGCACTAGATAGGTAGTTTTTGTTTTGTAGTATCTCCTCGGTTTCAAGGCGTTTCCCTTGTTGCCTCAGCCAGTATCGGAACCCTCGGCGTCGACGTATCGAGTGACGGGCAGTTTCTTGGTCACTTGGAAGAGAAGATCAAATTGTCCTCTAAAAGCTTGGCGTGCTCATCAAGGCAGGACAGTATTTCATGCCGGCACACCGCCTGCAACTTTGCATGGCGCAGGTTCGGCCTCACATAGAATACTGTTCCCATCTCTGGGCTGGGGCTGCCTAGTGCCAGCTCCTTCCATTTGATCGCATCCAGCGCAGAACGGCGCAAGCGTTGGTGATCTAGCTTTTTCTGATCGGCTTCACTCACTGGCACTGCACGTAGTTTATTGCATCTACTACGGGAAGTGCTCTGAGGAATTGTTGTGACTAGTTCCAGCCGCCCAATTTCACCATCCCAAATCGCGACACCATCCATATCATCTGAATGATTGGCGACCCACCACTATGCGAGTTAGAAGTTTTCTTCTTCGCACAACTTCCTTGTGGAGTCGACTACCACCAGACATTTTTTCGGTCCAATACGACTTAGGGACCTTCAAGAAAAGAGCTTACTCTTTTTTTAAAAGGTCTGCAATTTCCCTGGTGTTACAGTTGTTCATGAGCGGCGGTAGTCACGTTAGTTCCCAAAAGATGACCCGCATGCTCGTTTGCCCCCTCTTATATGAAAAAAAAATTATACAGTATTGATACGGTACCTTTACTGTTAGTGTGATCTTTCCGTTCAACATATTTAAATGAACTTTTCGTAGTAATTTCGTCGCCAGAAACTCGTTCCACAATTACCAAAATGAAGGAATAAATTTATTATTCCTTACACCTTTAGCTTAGAGCTTGAGCAAAGGGCGTTCAGCGGAGCGTGCGAGTAGCAGCGCGTGCGCCTAACATTTTGAGCGGCCGCTACTAACGAAATCGTAATACAAAAGAGTAAGTTTTTCATGCACGCCAAACGCTCCGCCACGCTGCACGCTCGTTACTCAGCTTGTACAATAATTATCTTTGAAAATAAAGTGAATCTAATGAAACCTAGTTCAAGTGATTTTTTGACAGATGCAAGCGCGGTTCCGGAGGGATTCTCCGGTAGATGGACTTTTGTGGTATTATCTATATCATCTATGTTGATCCACGCATATTATACATCAGCTATAGTGTCAGACCTCATGAGCACTGGCCGCAGCGGCCCCGACTCCCTGCGGTCGCTGGCCGATTCAAGATACTCTATTGCATCTGAAGATTACGATTACATGCGATATTTGATGTTTGATGTAAGTAATCTTTATTACCTACTACAATTAGATTATAGCTTGCCAGTAAAGTCACATGGATCTAACATAAATCTAGCGCTGCGTGCTGAGTTTAAGACCCATTCGAAGACACTTTTCATACAGGTTGTCGTGACTTATCATACAATAAATTTTTTTTTTTTTGCGCCCGAAGCAATTAAAGGGCTACCCTATACGTAGGGGAGGCGGAAAATGCATTACGCATACCACGATAGCCGGTCTATCGTGGTTATGAGGGGCTCACTGTCCTACCGGGGACCCTAAGTGATACCCTCTAAAAACCGCCTTTGGGGACAGGCAACCGGCTGATTAAGCTCTATTGTGCCTTATCATGAGCGACCCTCTTTTGGGAAAAGAGGGCGCAGGCGGCTAAGTGCCGCTGAGAGAGTGCCTACGAAGGCAAATTAATGTTAGATATTACAATAATTTTATTTAATTAGAGTTGGCCTGAGCCGCCAGGAGACAGTTCAGGTCGTTTGAAAGTTTATTAGGCGGGTCCGAGAGAGAGTTTCTCGGCCTGCGGACACGATAGCGAGAGGGGGGGTGGGGCTGCATAAGAAGCTGCCTCGCGAATTAAATGGTTTGGGTGCGACTCTGAGGCTTTGAAGAAGTTCTCAGAGAGTTTTTTAAAAAAAATGTTGAATTGTTGGGAGCTCTAAGTCCCGATGAAGGTCGGCATTACGGACGTACCACGGTGCGTTCGCAGCTCGACGACAGAAGAGGTTCTGAACTATTTGGAGTTCATTTAAAATGTTAGGGTTTGCGTGGGCAAAGACGGGGCCCGCGTAGGACATGACTGGTCGTATACACACCTTGTAAAGGGTACGCTTGTTTCGAAGGGACATTTTACTGTGTCGGCCCAACATACTGTTGAGCCTACTCAGATAAAACCGTGCGTGACGGGTTACTCTTTTGACGTGGGGCTTGAAAGTGAGCCCTGTGTCTAGAGTGACACCTAAATATTTGGCGGACGTATGCCAGGGGACAGGGGTTCCTAGCATACGTATTGGTGGAGTGTTTTTGAGACGGCGTCGTTTATAATCGAAGTGAACGGCGGAGCTCTTCTCCGGGTTCACATCGATGCGCCATTTTTTGAACCAAGCACCTAGGTCATCAACTGACTTTTGGATCTTGTTCCGTATGAAGGGTAGTGAGACACCTTTGCAGTAGATGGCAGTGTCGTCTGCGAAGAGGGAGAGTTGAACACCTTTCGACGGGATGGGAATGTCGTTGGTGAACAGGATGTACAGCAGAGGAGCAAGTACTGAGCCCTGAGGTCACCAGCCTTGATAGTTCGCTGTGAAGAAAGCGTGCCTTCGTGTCTAAAACGAAAGGTACGATGTTTTAAATAGGAGGCCACGAGACGAACTAGACGATCGGGGAGACCTATTTTATAGAGCTTGTAGATGAGGCCTGTGTGCCAGACTCTATCGAAGGCTTTTGCTATATCGAAAAAGACCGCGATGGTCTTATGACGACGAGGATAGAAACCGCTGAGGATATATTCCACAATGCGGTGAACTTGTTGGGGACATGAGTGTTTGGCTCGGAAGCCGAATTGATGGGGAATGATAAGAGGGTCGCCGTCTGTGGGAAACAGATAGCGCCTCATGCGCGTTTGGATGACTCTTTCGAAGAGCTTGCCCATTGCCTTGAGGAGGCTAATGGGGCGATGGCTGGAGGGGGAGGTTGAGAGGCTTGCCTGGCTTGGGAATTCCAATCACAGTAGCCTCTTTCCACGTAGCGGGGAAATAACTGAGGTTGAAGCAGGCGTTGAAGATAATAGATAAAAAGGTTAACACCTGCTCAGGAAAGTGTTTTAGGGCTTGGTTGGAGATGCCATCCGCGCCCGGAGCCTTTTTGGGCTTAAGTCCTTTGATGAGGGATGAAATCTCATCATTGGACACAGAGATAGGTTTGGAGGCCGTAGGGGGTGAGTTCCGGCGGCGGAACTCATCCTCCACTGCCTGGACGTGAGAGGGGTCGACGGGTTGAGAACTAGGAGAGCATTGAGCGGCAATGCTATCTGCAAAGCACTCAGCCTTTTCCTCGTCCTCGAAGGCAACCGTGCCGTCGGGACGGGAGAGAGGGGGAGTGTGGGTGATAGCGTCTATGAGGAGGGCTCTGGCCATCTGATAGTACGCTGTGTGAGAAGGAGAGATATTCTCCATGAGCTTACTCTTTTCGAGGTTTGAAATACAGAGAGGCGGAAGCGGAGTTCTCGTTGAAGACGATTGGCCGCGCGCCTATATTCGGGGGTGGGATATTTTGCTGCTCTCCGGAAAGCAGCTTTTTTTGGCTTTTAATAGGTTGCTAATATGTAGGGGAAGCCCACTATTGTTAGCAACCGGGACGACCCTTTCGTTCTCCTTAAGGGAGGATTTAATAAGGGTGGAGAGTGAGTCGACCGCGGTGTCGATTTTTTCGGGACTATCTAAGTCCGACGGTAGGGAGATGGTAGAGTCCTGTGAGTCCAAAGCTTTAGCTAGGGACTCCTGGAATCCCCTTCCAGTTAGTGAAGGTTTTCGTGTGTGTTGGGGGAGGTGGCTGATGGCCAAGAATGAGGGAGACCGGTCGGTGATCTGATCCTAGATCGTCTAGTGTCTCGATTGCTCTGAGGTTGAGAGAAACTCCTTGGAGTAACGCAAAATCTAACACATCGGGGGGCGTGATCGGTGTTATCGGGAAAGTGAGTAACACCGAGAGGACTATGGACGGTAATATCAAGAGACTGCGTGATATCGAGCAGTATCTTGCCACTAGGGGGACGTAGTGTGGCGTGTCCATTCAGTATGCTTGGAGTTAAAATCTCCAAACATAATGACTGAATTGCCTAAAGATAAAATGGCCTCAAAATCCTTTTTGAGGGGATAGGTTCCTGAAGGGATGTAACAGGAGGCTATGAGGATGGACTGATGTCCAGTCATAGCTAGCCTGCATACCGTGGCTTCCATGTTGGTAAGCTGCGGAGTAGAAATGGGCGAGCAATGAAGTGTCTTCTTGTAATAGATGGCCGTTCCGCCGCCTCGGCGGTCGGGTCTGTCGTTACGTAGAAGAGAGAAGTTTTTAATAGAAAGGCCTCTAGTGTCCTTAGCTTTGAGATTAGTTTCCTGTAGGAGGAGGAAATCGACTTCACGATTCCGAAGAAAGAGCTTGAGCTCTGGGTGGTTATTTCGCAAGCCGCGAATATTAAATGATACAAGCGATAAACCCTTAAGTTTGATACGACCGTGAGATCTTGGTAGGTTAATTCGCTCAGTCATTGAAGTTAAGTTAATTAAGTTAACCTAACTTACAACGCTAACAGAAGGATATTGTGCTCCGCAAGAACGAGGAGACGTTCTTGGGGGGACTTGGCCGCGCGCAGTTTGCGTGATACTACTGTTATTTCCCTAACATCGATATTCCTAATAGCGGAATATAGCGTGTTGTAGTCGTCGATTGTGGGCTCTGCTTCATGAGCGTACGAGGTTGTCCGCGGTGGGTCCGCCTTTTTGGGCCCCCAGGGAAAGACTGGAGGCTGCATTGGCTTGGAGAAGCCCGGAGGGGGGCCGAATTATGCCTGGGCTAGGGGGATGAGGGGGCCTAGGGGGACCCTGAGGGGCCTAGGGGGACCCTGAGGGGGCCTAGGGGGACCCTGAGGGGGCCTAGGGGGACCCTGAGAGGGTCGAGGGAAGCCCTGGATAGGCTGAGAAGGGCCCTGACGGGGCCGTTGTTGGAGGGCCGGGAATGATTGGTCATTCACCGGCGGTGGAGCTTTCCTACTGGGGCGAGGTTGAGGTGCGCGTGGGCAACCCTTGTAGTTCGCCGGGTGTGCCTGTCTGGTTGCACAGGACACAGGCGGGCGGGGATTCGGCGTCTTTGGGCCGGGGACACTCTTTAGTGTTATGAGGTTCCAGGCACTTCACGCACCTGGGTGGGGCGGAGCAGTTGGCCGCCGCGTGACCATAAAGTTGGCAGCGGTGGCACTGCGCCGGGAAACCGGGCCTATGTGGGGGCTCTACCTTCACCCTTGACAGGCCGCACACTGTGCGCACCTGCCGGAAGATGGCTTTAGCCTCCGGCACGTTTGTCAGGATTACTAGGGCAAGGTTGTATCTCTTGCCCGTTCTATTGTGCATTTTGTGCACTGCTTCTACGGGGAAACCTTGGGACTTAAGG